TGGCGCCTCCAGATATCAGGAGGCCGCTGTTGTGGGCCGAGAAGGACAGGCCCCGTGCGGAACTGCCGTGAGCCTCGGGCGGTCGCAGCGGCAGAGGAGACAAGCACGGCATCGCCAGCCACGGCTGTCGGCGTTCTGGCCCGCGCACGGTCACCGATGCACCCTCCTGGAGCAGAGGGTACCCCCCTGGGTGCCCCCCCGGTGGCTTCCGAAACGCTGGGGGAACAAACAACAATCACCAGCAGGACTGCACCTTCGCTCGACGTTTCTCCACACAGGCGCTTCCGGAAGGCAGGGTGCGGCAATGATCAACTGCAGGCGTCGTCGATCCGCCGCCGTGCCGTAGCACCGAGCGGAGCATCATCAGACCTCACGAAATTATGTGGTGGAATCTCCTACGTGCTCTCTGCCATGCGTGAAGCCCAGACGCCCAGACCCGCAGATGCAATTCGTGCATGTGGAGCGCGCCTTTTTTCCGAAATCGGAAAACCCCAAGCTGAAATTGAGACGGTCACAAGAGGGGTCCAACACGGCCCATGGCCACCGGGGCCCGCGAGCGCTCCAAGACTGCCGACAGCGGCATCGAGACGGCCCGAGATGCTCCCGAGACGCCCTGTGAGGGCCCCCATGTGATCCCCCCCGAGGCGCCAAGAAACAACAGTGACTAATGCCAGCAGCCCTGTGGCCCTTCTTCCTTCCCCTTCGGGGAGGGGTTGGCCCCTGGACCTTGAGGGGGGGGGGGTTCGCGAGGCGTTGGAGCGCCCAGGGTGGCCCAAGATGGCTCCAGGAGGGCCTCAGAGCGCCCACGACGACCTCCAAGACGGCTCCAAGTGGCCACGGAACATCCCGAGGAGGCCGCCAAGAGGCCACATTCCTTCACCAACTTCTGGAAACTCAATGAATTTGATATTCCCGCCTTTTTGCGTTCGATGGCCTTCCGAGGCCTCAAGACAGCTCTAAGGGGACCCCTAAGAAGCCCAAGCGAGCCCCAAGACGGCCTCATGAGCGCTCCAAGAGCGCTCCGAGAGGGGTCCAAGAGGCGACTTTAGGCACCCTGGAAGTGGCAAGGCTAATTAAGTACCCCCCTTTTTTGAGCGATCTCTTCCAAGATGGCTCCAAGAGCGCCTCAAAGGCTTCCAAGAGCGCCCCATGAGAGCCCCAGCAAACGCCAAGAAGGCCCCAATATGCCCCCAAGAGACTCCCAAGAGACCCTCCAGAGGCCCCAAGCGGCTCTCCGAGGCACCCAAGAGGCCCCTGGGACAGCCAGAAGGCGCCCAAGACGCCCCGAGAGGCCCCCGAGCTCGCCATTTTCTTCGTCCTCTGCCTCCTCCTCCTCCTCCTCTTCTTCCTCCTCCTCCTCCTCCTCCTCCTCCTCCTCCTTCCTCCCCCTCTTGGGGTACGAAAGGTTTCTCCAGACCTGTGTTCCTCTGTATGCTTCCCCACATCCCTGATCAGGGCAACTCGTCTGGTCATCGTTGCTAGATGGGCTGGTTGGGTTACACGGAGAGTGAAGAATTTCTTTAAATGCTTGAACGATGTAAACGGAAGCGCTCTCTCGCCTTTCCAGGCTTCAGAACGCCCGAGACGGCTTACGAGGTGTCCACTATTGTCCGAAGATCGCCAAATAGGTCAGAAAGGGAGCCCGAAGACGAAGAAAGCCTGAAACGACCCAAGAGGCTTCGAAAAGGGCCTCGAGAGGGGGAGCACGAATTGGCCTCGGGAGCATCTCCCTCGAATATGGCCCCAATGCTCCCAACATGCCCCCAAGGCCCAAGAGCCTCCCAGACACTCACGAAAGGCCCCACGAGGCCCCCAGGGGGCCTCCAAAAGGCCCCCCCAACAACATCCAAAAAAGCCGTCCAACAGCTGCATAAAAAGGCACCCCGAAGTACCGCAACATTCATCGGGGCTCTTGGGCCGCCCTGGAATGCCTGGGAGCCGGCCCAACATACTCGAAGCGTTAGACTAAAATGTTCGTGTTTGTGTGTGTATGTCGATTCCGCTTTTCTGTGCGGGTTCAAAGCGTCCACCACGACCCACGAGGCCCCGAGAGGGGAACCTTTCTCTCCCCCCACCAGTTACTTGGCATCGAGGAGCATCCTTGATCATTTGGCGAAAACGCCACGCACGAAACCGAAAAAAACACAGGGACATGGACGTCCGAGCGATACCGAGTTATCGCTCCCACTCATATGAATTCGCGCCCAACCCTGAGCACTCCGGGGCGGTCTGAGGCCGGGGTGTGGAGACCGCCGTCAAGCACGGCCCAGGAGGCCCCCACACCGCCCCCCAAGGGGGCTCGCTCGAGAAGGGGAGCACGATCTGCCCGGGCCCTCCAAAGTGGGCCCCCGAAGCACCCCAACAGAGGCCTCCAAGGTCGAGAGGCCTCCCGTACAATCGGGAGCGGCCAAGAGGGGGGTGTCCAAGAGGGGGGGGTGCAAATCATGACCAGCGGCATGTGCGCGGCCCAGCGGGGGGGCCAGGGACGTAATGAAATAAGAGGAGGCGCCGTAAAATCTGGGTACATATCATGGCCCCCGCCATGATATCCACCCCCCCCTAGTCATCACCCCCCTCTTTGCCGCCCCCGATACAAGCCCAGGAGGCCTCCCACGGAGGCCTCTGGCCAGCGTCACCGGAACGGCGGCCTCGCCATCGCTCGGACGTCCATATTTTGTGTTTGTTTCGGTGTCGTGCGCAGTTTTTTCGCCAAATGGTCAAGGATGCTCCTCGATGGCCCTCGCCGAAGGAAAAATGCACACGTAAGACCCCAGGAGGCCTCCCACAGGCCTCTGGCCAGCGTCGCCGGAACGGTGGCATGATGGGCCGAGTGCAAGTGAATGAATGCTGATGTTCCTCGATTTCCATTCCAAGGTCGAGGTTCTTATTCGCGTCTGCAGTAAACTGCTCGCCCAGGTCTGCATTTACTCCCCATGCTTCAACTGTGTACCATCGGTGGCTCGAATGTCGTCCAGGGCCACGACCTCATGGCAACGCAGCCTCATTCCATGGCGCCCGCCTGCAATAACTGCAACCATGAAGTCGTATGCGTCAGGCTCTCCAATTAGGATTGCCCTCGGCGCACACGCAGTCGGACAACTCGCCCCTGGCGTGAACCCCTCGGGCTCCTTCAGAGAGCATTGTCACTGAATCATGCATGAAGGCTGTCATCACGAGAACGACAAACAAACCTATCAACGTGCAACCGTGAGAAATGTCAGATGCTTATGGGCGTTTGTTTAGGCGGTTGGCCTCATGTGCCGATCACAAAGAATCTTCATGGAAGACCTCACCACATTCGCCAACTGTGGCGGAACAAACTATCCGGCACAGCACTTCAAACACGGGTTCTGTACTGTTGCAAACGAGCAAATCTTCCGATCCGTAACGACGACCGTCACGGCACCGTGGGCATGCGCTCGTGCTAGCTCGATCCGCCAGCGGGCAACGCAAATGGCGCGGCGCGCTCAGTGCAACGTGTGCCATATTCGACCATCCACATTAACACTAAGTGACCGGTCCTTCCATATCGCGGAAAACACCATCAGAGCAACACACTGCAGGGGTAGTGGTTGACAATCGCCGCAATGTGATCATGGTTGGGCGAGATGATCGTCATGAGGTTCAGGATTTTACGCAGACCCTGCTTCATGTAATCGACTTCAACTACTTGTCTTGATCGTGACGGTGATGGCAATCTCGATTCACCTTCACTGAGTTCGGAATTTTCGCATTCTCTGCTGGAGCCTGGATGTACCTGTACAAAGTGATGCGTTATGTTCAGCGAAGTTGGTAACTTTCGATATGAAGCCCCATGGGAACGATGGACATCGGAGGTGGAATCCGATCCTCCGTTTCTGCAGCTCGCCACGAGCTGGCGGAACCGATCGTGTACATCAAACATCAGGCCTACAACATGCTGGGTCACCAAGAAAGAACAACCCTGATATACGCGACCCCCCAAACCTCCGTGAAGACCGTCAGGTAACCGTGCCGCTCAGGGTGCGGTTGCGCGGACGGGCAAGATGGATCTTCGTGGCCCGGTCTCTCTGCTCGAAGAGGCGGCGTGCCTCTACGACCCAGTGGCAGAATGCTGGACTTCATCATCATTATCGACTTCTCGCCATATCACAGATTTACCTCCTGGGACGGCGCCGAGAACCAAGCCCGATTTGAAGATTGGCTGCCTTGTGAGCGATTCCTGACATGGGTCTGCTTACTTGCCTCTTTGTCTGCTCTTCTAGCTGCCAACGTTCTCTAAGCTTGCTGTTGCCACCGTCTCTTGATGAATCCTGCTCCTCCTCCTCCTCCTCCTCCTCTTCCTCCGCCTTTTGCCCCTCCGCCCCTTCCCCCATTAGCGAGTTGGTAATCGCGCAAAGGCCCCTCTTGGCTCAGGTCAACGGGGCAGGTGCCTCCGAGCCGCAGCCGTTGGCCAGCTTGTCTTGGCCCCTGTTTCAAGCCAGGAACCAGTTCAGCGCGAGGAAACACAAAGCCCTTCCCCCTCCTCCTGCCCTGCCCCCCCTCCTCCTCCTGCCCCTGCTGCTCCTCCTGCTCCTGCTCTCTTTTCCACCCACTCATCATCACCCCTCCCGCACTCCTCGACCTGTTTCCCTTCCTCGTCCGCCTCGTCGCCTTCCTCCCCCTCGTCCTGACCCCTCCTCATCAGGGCTCTAGCTGAACCGTGTTGTTTCGTTTTCGCTCTGTTTTCGTTTGCCCTCGTTGTGTCTTCAAATCGACCCTGGCTGCAACACGAAATCGAAACGAACACTGTTTACCAGCCTCGAACTTATCCCCATCCCTAAGATTGACACGCCACAAGGCGATGACAATCTTAGGGATTCGCCCTCAAAAAATAAGGGAATCCCTAAGATTGGCATCGTGATGAGGAGATGCCCAGCATAGGGATAGGGATATGTTCCAGGCTGGTAAACTGTCCACGAAATCGCCCAAACACCGTTCAGCTCGAGCCCTGCTCCTCATCTCCCGTCTCCTCACCCTCCAACCACCGATCTGCACGCGCTGGCCCGCGTCGGACAAAAAAAAGGCGCCTGCGAGAACACGCACAAGTGTCGGAGCGCCACCGTGTCCCAGACCTCAGGGATGGCAACATGGGGATCTGGCAGAACACGTGGAGGCATCGAGCGCGGACATCTCTGCAGAATGCGTATGGCAACATCATCGAGTTGTAATGACGCCTCCTTGCGGGACGACGCAATCTAATCCTGTCACACCTCCTTGTGTAGGTGCTTTAGGCTCACCTCTCAACTTCTCGAAAGCAGCCTGTCTTCCCATTCCGACCCCTTCACGCACCCCTTGCTTGGGGTCCTGCAACAATGAAGGGGCCCTGGGACACACAAATAAATACACACAAATAACAGGATCCCCCACATTTTCATATATTTTCGGGGTTTCTGTCTTCCCCCCCACTTCCATATTTGCCCATATTTTCTTGGGCGTCGACGATTAATTGTGCCTGTGTGTTTCTTTCTCTCCTGAAACAAAAGGCTCGCGGGTCCTTCGAGGGTCCAGTGTCTCCACAGATCCCGTCCAGTGCTGCCAGCGCCGGCCTCGCACCTGGCCCCGGGTCCCCATCCTACTCCGAGGTGGCCCTCGGGTAGTACAGTCGAGGCGTTGACCTAAGGAACCCTAAATAAGGAAGGAGGCCCCTTTTTCCCATAAGTTCAACCTCGATTTCCGATGGAAAACCGCAGGACCCCCCGAGGCAAACTTTGAAACAATCAAGGAACACCGAGCCCCTCCCCAACGAAAAGGGTTCCTTCTTCAGGGCCCCGACTGTATCCGAGCCACCCAATTGGTCTCCCCCCCGCGAGGGTGGCACCAGTGAAGAAAACACTCGATGGGCCTCGGTGACCTCACGACGATCCCAGGAGGGGCCCACGAGAGCAGCCCGAGGGAGCCAGATGCAGGAGGCCTCAGGAGGTGGTCTGCCTGTCTCCCAAAGGGAGTGCGCTACTCGAGTGCCCCTCCTCTTTCGGTCGCTGACCTCCAGGATGGCCCCAAGACGGCCCCGCCCGCCAATTTCTCAACGACTATGATGTCTGCATCTTGCCTCCTAAGATGAAAGGACAAGCCGGGCGCACCGTCGCAACCGACAGCGCTGGTGCGTCCAGATGTGGGGCAACCGACTCTGGCCGACATCCTGACGCCCAAGCATGCGCAGCGCGAGAGGCCGGGAGAACACAGTCAGTGCACGAGGGCTGCGCAGCCCGTCGACGTCCGTGGGCCGTCCACGACTCGAGGGCGGCTCCGTTCGCGAGGCAGGGGCGAGGGGAGAGGAGAAGGGCGGACGACGAATAGGCCACGCAGGCACCCAAGAAGGGGGCCTCGCGGAGAGCGCCATGCTCCTCAGGGAGCCTCATGGAGAGCCCCACGTTGGCTCCGCGAGCCATCCGCAATATTCCAAGCGAGCCCTGAGTTGGCTGCTTCTGGGCGGCGGTTCGGGCTGATCCCTCATTTGGTTCGACTGGCGTCCTCCGTCTTGGTTCCCAACCCTCCTGAGTGTTGGGTACTCGTTTTGAAGTCGCAGCGCGGCGCGTCTTCTTCCTCCTCTCTCATTTCCTCGTCTCCCCTCCTCTCCTCTCCTCTCCTCTCCTCTCCTCTCCTCTCCTCTCCTCTCCTCTCCTCCTCCCCTCCTCTTCCTCCACTTCCCTCTTCCATTTTGGCGCTCCACTCACACACTTCGTGGCCCCATAGGGAGCTCCACCGAAGGCCCCAGTGGCTGCGTCCGCATGGTGACCCGCCCCATTTCGGCGCACCCCTCACACGTTTCGTGACCCCATAAGGAGCTCCACCGAAAGCCCCAATGGCTGCGTCCGCATGCTGACCCGCCCGATCTCGGCGCACCCCATCACACGTTCCGTGGCTCCATAGGGAGCTCCACCGAAGGCCCCCGTTGCTGCGTCCACATGGTGACCCGCCCCATGTCGGCGCAACCTTCACACGCTTCGTGGCCCCATCGGGAGCTCCACCGAAGGCGCCAATGGCTGCATCCGCATGGTGACCCACCCAATTTCGGTGCACCCCTCACACGTTTCGTGGCCCCATAGGGGGCAACACCGAAGGCCTCAATGGCTGCGTCCACATGGTGGCCCTCCCCATTTTGGCGCATCCCTTGCGCGCTTCGTGCCACTCCCGCTTGCGATTTGAGTCGCGAGAGTGCGTGCGTGAAGGAGCAACGTTGAGTGCGGTCTGGCGTTCTTCGGCGAAGAAGTCAGGGGCAGTGCAAAACCCTCAGTGTTTTCATGTTTTGTACGGTCCTGTTTATAATCGCTGCGTGTTTAGAACGGGTTAGGTTCTTCGCCAGGATACTTTTACTACTGCTTATTTGCATCTTCTCCAAAGGGTACTCGCATGGGCACCGCCTGACGAATGAGGATGCACGATGCGCCAACACGATAACGCATCTTCGATATATTATTTGGGACCGTCGAGATTCACTTCGCACGGGCTAGGATGCTGAGCTCGTACATCTTGGGCGCGATCAGACATGCCCTCGGCCAAGGCTCTGGACCTGCAAGGGGCTTTGCCTGGGATCCAGCAGAAGTCTCGGCCTGCCTGCAGCACCTGCCAGGGTGAAGGTAAGACGGGCGGGGGGACGAGGGGGCAAGCATCGAACTGAAATTGGCCGCACGTCGCCAATCTGACTCCGACGGCGAAGTCTGCAATGTATCTGGACGATTTGGGGGCACGCTCCCGCCCCCATCCGCCCACCATGAGCCTGCCCACGCCTTGTCTGCTCCATGGCGAGAAGGGGGTAACCGGAGGACAGAAACGGGGCCAGGGTGGGGCAGGGCCAAGAGACAGGGTGCTAGGGCACGGAGTGTGTCAGAAACCTAGGAGGGATGGGAGGGGAGAAACAAACACATACATTCTCCCTTGTGCTTGTCGTCGTCGTCGTCGTCGTCCTCCCTTTCTCCGTCCCCGTCCTCGTCCTCGCCATGTTCCTCTTGCTCGTCGACCTCGGCGTCCTCCTGTCTCTTAGCCTCCTGCGCCTGCTGCCAGCTGCTGCCTGTCCTCGTCCTGCTCACGTGCCTGCAGCTCCTACCCGATGGGTTTCATGACGTGCCCGGAGGTCCGCGACGCCTTCGGTGCCCAAGCTGGCCAAACGTCCGACAATTTCCCTCCCGACCTGACGAAGGTGGAGGGCTGGACTGGGTAGTCGAAGCCAATCTGGCGCCAATCTGGCAGGCCCAATCTGGCAACCGGGGGCAATCTGGCGAGGGAGCCAACGCGAATCCAGTCTGGCGAAGAACCCAACTCATCCAGTTTGGCCGGGCCAGATTGGCCCTTGGGGCCCAATCCAATCTGACAGTCTGACCTTCGACTACCCAGCTGGAGTCTGGCTCCCCATTCCTCTCCCAGGCCATCCCCGGGCGCCTGGATGTGGCCCGCGGCGTCGCAGGCGGCAAGCGCGTCGGGTCTCAGTGGTGAGTAGCAGAGGCCTCCGCGGCGAGATCGGAAGGGCGGATCGAGACAGGGTGCGTCGCCGGGAGACTGCACTCAAAGAAGCCTGCGCCCGAGCAGCTGAGGCCGAACCATGGACATTATGTGGGCAACCCGTGGGGGAAATGCGTTCGAGAACAATGCCCCAGCCGCGCGAGATCTGCGACCTAAAACTCGACCGCCCACCTGAAACCGACTCAGAAATCCGAGCCCCCTGCTGTCACTTACGCGACACCTCTTGAAACCTGCTACGGCCGTCGCTCAAACGTACTTGCCATTTACCAGCTAAATCCCACCAACGCTCTGGGCGTAGGTGGAGTTTGTTTATCACCCTCTGTCTTCCTCCGCGGTGAAGAATCTGTCACTGCTCCTTATTGATAGACACCCCCTCCCCGACTCAACTCACCGCCAACCAGGAACCATGCGGGCCCACGTCCACCATCCCATTCAACATACAATCAGTATGATGCATCTGTCCACAGTTCTGGTTATATATATATATATATATATCAATGCACGTATCTACACGTGCACGTGACGGCAACATCTGGAACATGAACGGGCATCCGCGATCAATTTGCCTGGGCTTTTGGTAAGGATGGCGGGGCGTGTGTGTGTGGTCATATTTGTCGGTGCGCTCGACCCCTACCATGATCAGACATCAACGCGATGGGATTGCGGGTGCATGCCACCATGCACCATTACCATGGTGGCCACCCCGCTGGAACTTTGCACAGGCCTTTGACTGGCAAGGGGTCGGCATATTGCCCGATGTGTGCTGTGGTGTGCACTTGCACACCCGTTGCCGCCAACGCACTCTGCGCGCGTCGCGCACTCTACGGTGGGAGGGCGTGCGGGAGTGAGCGGGACAGCTTGTGGCATTTCGTTGGAACTTCACCCCTCCACCTGCCTCCCCTCTGGGGTCTGGACAGGGGGCCACGCGAGCGATCAGAGCGTCCAACATGGCTTCAAGACAGCTTCAATTAGTCCAAGATGGCACCCACTCTTGATCAATATCGGCCAAGATGACTTCGGACCTCCTTCCACGCAGCAACAAGACAACTGCAAGACGGTTCAACGTGGCCAAAGAACTTCTCACTGTGACACCCGAGAGGGCAACGTCCGTCGAAGACACTAAGTAATTATGGTATATCGGCTTCTCGCGTTTTCGCTTCTGGTGGACCCCTTGTGGCTTCAATATTGTGCCCAAGAGAGGCCCTGAGGGGCTTCAGCACTGTCTCGAAGGCTTCCTATGGCGCTCCACGTCAATCCCAAGGTCTCCAAAAACGATTCTCGTGCTCCAGGTATGCGATGCTTATCGGCACAAGAAAGGCATTGAAACACATGCGTTGCTTGATGGTTTGGACGTTTCGGGGGCTTCATTGGGCGGTTGCGTGGCGAGTGTGCCTCCAAACGGGCCCAAGCTAGCTCCAAATGGCCTCCTGGATGGCGCAACATGTTCCACGTTTGCTCGAGATGGCCGCCTCCATGCCTCCACGAGGCCTCACTATTTGCCTAAGACGGCTCGAAGTGGCCACGGAGCCTCCCAAGGACGCCTCCAAGAGGCCAACATTACTAGAGAGAGAGAGAGAGAGAATCTATGCATTTCGACTGGTTTCCGCCTCCTCTTCGCCTTTTCGCCTCCGATGCGCTTCTGATGCCTCAAGGTGGCTCCAACATCTCCCAAGAGAAAGGCCCACGAAGGCACCACGACGGTCTCAAGAGCCCGCAAGAGCGCTCCAAGAACACCAAGAGAAAAGGCCTAAGAAAACACCACTGCGGCCTCAAGAGCGCGCAATAACGCTCTAAGAGTACCCCAATAGGCGATTGTTTGGGCTCAGAAAGGGGGGGATACTCGTTGTGATGGGTACCCTGCAAGATGACCCAAATGGGCCCCGAGGCACACCCGAACGGGTTCCGACAACTCTCAGAATTGTGCTAAACTCATCTACAAAGCGAACAAGAAGTACCCAGAACGAAAGATCCGCGAACGCGTTGTCGTCGCAGTCTTCCACCCCCCCCACTTCCTCCCCCAAATCCTCCCACCTTTTCCTCCTCCTCCTCCTCCTCCTCCTCCTCCTTCCTCCCTCTCCGCCGCCTTCCATATAGAATTCACCTGACATTGAGTTGGAACGTGCTCCGTCAATGTCCTCTTCCTTCTGCTCGCCCTCCTCCTGCTCCTCCTCCTGCTGTTTCCCCCCTCCGTCCTCATGAGCTTCTTCCTCTGTCACCCCCATGCTTCGAAACATAACGGTTTGTCACTGCCCACTCTTTGTTCAGCTGCACGCTCTTACTCCTGCACTTCCCTGGTCAAGTCATCATTTCTGGCAGGGCAGGTGGGGCCACATCTTGACGTAGCTGCATCCCAAGAGCGGACTTTCCCAAGCCTTAAAGAAACAAGCAACCGGCAAGCCCGTCCAAATACAATGCGCGCAATCCCCACGTCTACTGTTATCTTCACTTAAGCACTCCAAAGACAATGATCGACGTTTGTGCAGTTTGGAGCCATTGCCACGCCGCGACGCTTGACGAAAACACAGAGGGTATTTTTTGTGCATCGGGGTGAGCCTGGGCGCTTCGGATATCTCCGTTGTCCGAAGTCGAAGTGGCCTGGTGCAGGAACCACTCTGATCTTGAGGTGCCCCTCGCTGTTGAGGGGCAGACGCACGGTGGCATCACACGGGTTTGCGGTTTTGGACACGGTCATGTCTAGAAGCGCAAGGTCGCCATCCCCAACGGACAGACAGCCTGCTCGATTGCCCAGGAAAGGTCAGCGTGTGTGGTTGAATGTCTTCTTCTGGTCCGCGCACGCGAAAACGCCCCTGGGCCGGCGACTGGCCAACGTCGCTCCAAACGCGCCAAGAGAGCGGGAGCACGCGCCCCAAGAGCGTGGGCCAATGGGCTTCAGGCAATGGGTGTCAGGCCCCGTGCTGGCCCACAGATGACCCCACTGCGCCACAAGGTGGTGCGATATGGTGGGCCCAACATGGCCCGATAGGGCCCCAGACGGTCCCATGTACCGCAGGGGCACCTCGAGATGGCAGAATCTGCGCCCCTCGGAGGCCCCCAGGACGGCGGCCAAGGGCATCGAATATGCATGTGCTGTTATCCGTGTTTGTCCTTCTCGCCCTTGCGGGCTCAAATGAGCTTCTCGGGACCCGAGGTGGCCCCGAACGAGCCCCGAGGCGCCTCAGGCCCCAACATTGCCGCTAATGGCCCAATACAGCCGAGCTCACAGCACATATTGCTTAAGAGATCGCCAACTAGCCTCTCCCCAGACACCGCCAAGAAGCCCGAATCGTTGAAGCCCCGATATTCTTGATGATCATGGCGTTCTCGCCCTTGGGTTCCAATGGACTCTTTGGGACGCGAGCTGGCCCCAAGGGAGCAGCACGGAGCTCTGAGAGGGCTCCGAAGTTATAAAAAGACTCTTGTGGGTCATGGCCCATCGAGGGCACTCCTTTAGCCCACTTTGGGCCCTCTTGTGACAAGAGGGCCCACCATGAATGGGGCCCTGGGACACACAAATAAATACACACACATAAAACGATTCCCCATCTGTTCTCATATTTTCTGGGCTTGTGTCTTCCCCTCCACTTCCCATATTTTCGAATATTTTTCTGGGGAATCGACGATTCATGGTGTCTGTCTTTTTCCCCTGCTGACAACAGATGGCCACAGGAGGACCAAGGGGGCCTCACTGTGGGGACCACATGGATGGCAGGCCTCAGGATCACCAACATGTAGGACAAGGACGACCCCACACTGTCTAGGGCGAAGCCTCCCAGAAATCCGCAGGAGTCACCCAGCATGCCCCAACAGCCCACAGGCGGATTTTAGACAGAAGTCATTCGCGATGATGGTGCAGTATAAGCTGGCGGAGTTCGCGAAGCGGTCGACTTCGGCGGGTCCCATGCGGGCCCAAGCCGTGTCAGGCCCCCGAGGGTAGATGAGGAACCGATGATGTGGAGGATAACGAACTTGCATGCGTACGTGCATGATCCTGTCCATCCATTTTTCTGGGACGCTTAAAAGCAAAGGTGATCCGCACCCCTCGGCTAGTGGAGCACGACAAAATCACAGTGGATCTGCGCTTCCACGCTTCTGGGACACATGCAGACACAATCCATCAGTCTGACACGACGGGGTTGGTTCGACGTGAAATGACGATCCCCCCACTGGAACATTGATTTCGGTTTAGTGTTCTCGTCGAGGGTGCGAGGTGAAAGAAACACAGACACAGACACAGACACAGACACAGACACAGACACAGACACACACAGACACACACAGACACACACAGACACACACAGACACACACAGACACACACAGACACACACAGACACACACAGACACACACAGACACACACAGACACACACAGACACACACAGACACACACAGACACACACAGACACACACAGACACACACAGACACACACAGACACACACAGACACACACAGACACACACACACACAGACACACACAGACACACACAGACACACACAGACACACACAGACACACACAGACACACACAGACACACACAGACACACACACACACACACGCACGCACACACACACACACACACACTGTGGGAAAACAAACAGTTGAAAAAACACACAGTGTGTTTTTTTTGCAAACAGTGTGTGTGTGTGTGTGTTTTGTGTGTGAGTGTGTGTTTTTGTCCCACAGTGTGTGTGTGTGTTTTTCCAACAGTGTTTTTTCCCACAATGTGTTTTTTCCCATAATTCAAGGACTGTGCGCTCCCCGTGGCGCGGTGTCCCGTGGCGCGGTGTCCCGTGGTGTCCCGTGCGGTCGATTGTGAGATCGATCGTGAGACTGGTCGTGAGATCGATCGACCAATCGATAGTGAGATCGATAGTGAGGTCGACTGCGATATCGATAGAATGTGAGCTCGATATATAGGAGGAAGATCGATCGTGATATCGGAGAGAGCGTGATCCACCGCCACTTTACTGTGGAAAATTGCCAACCTTTTCCTCCGGAACCCGGAGGTCTCCCCCCCCCCCCCCACCCCTCCGAAAACCCCCCCCCCCTGCTAACCCCCCCCCCTCCCCCCCCCCCCCCCCCCCCCCCCCCCCCCCCCCCCCCCCCCCCCCCCCCCCCCCCCCTCCCCTACCGCGGGGGGGGGTCACTACCGGTTCGAACCCCCCCCCCCCCCCGGATCCGGAAAACCGGGGGGGGTCACTACCGGTTGGAACCCCCCCCCCCCCTCGAAACCGGAGGGGGTCACTACCGGTTCGACCCCCCCCACGCACCGCCAGCAAACGACTCCCGGTCCCTACCACCGCTCGCATGACATCCCCCACTGTTGTTCCCAGCACCACTGTCCTCACCACCACTGCCCCCGCTGGTTCCACCACCGTCCCTATTGTCCCCACCAGTGCCCCCACCACTGTCGCACTGTCCCCACTGTTCCCACAACTGTTCCCACCACGGTTCCACTCTCCCCACTGTCTCCACGGACCCAACCACTGCCTATCCCCACTGTCCCCACTGTCCCACTGACTCCTCCGCTGTCCCACTGAGCTGTCCCACTGTTCCCACCACTGTCCCCACTGTCCCCACCACTGTCCCCACTGTACCTCTGTCCCATTGTCCCACCGCCGTCCTCGCCGACGCCTTTACCAGTGTCCCCACCACCATTGTACCCTCCACTGTCCCAGTGTTTCCACCTCATTCCCACTGTCCCCACACCACTGTCCCCACCACCACCGTTCCCACCACTGTCCACTGTCCCCCCTGTTCCCACCATTGTCCCCACCACTGTCCCCACCACTACCGTCCCCACCGCTGTCCCACTGTCCCCCCACTGTCCCCACCACTGTCCCGCTGTCCCCTCACCACTGTCCCCACCAACACCGTCCCCACCACTGTCCGCACCCCCACTCGGTTTTCGAGGGGGGGGGGGGTTCGAACCGGTAGTGACCCCCCCCTTTTCATGATGAGCTGGGGGGGGGGGGGGAGGGGTTCGAACCGGTAGTGACCCCCCCCGGTTTTCCGCCAGCAGCGGTAGAACACGCTCTTTCTGATATCGATAGGGAGATCGAGAACCAGATCGATAGGTGGATGGCCAAACAAAACGCCCGTGGTGCCCAACTGGTTTCCGCCGAATCCGATCCGACCCCAACCGCACACCGAAAGCTGAACTACCCCCCCAACACAACCTCCTTATCACCCGAAGGGCGATTGCACTCTTGGAAGCCTCAGTCCAGCACACCCCTCACGCAAGTCGTGCACCATGGGCCTCCAGAGGCGCCCTGACAGCTCTTCGAGATGGCCCCAGGGAACCTCAATCCGGCGCACCCCTCACACCTCGTGCCACAAGGGCCCCCGTGGGCACTCTTCTGTCCCCCACAGACGGATCCTGGGAGCCCCAAATCGCCATCCCCTGACTGCTCTTCATGCCACACAGACCCCCCGATGTGCCCAACTGCCCATATAGAGGCCGAGCGGGCCCAGGGCGGCACGAGCCGCGCCGACGGTGGACCTGTGCACAGAGTGTGGAGAGGAAGACTGGGCTTCCATGTAGAATGCATGCTGGGAACGGCTGGGACATGTACAATCGAGGCGTTGACCTAAGGAACCCTAAATAAGGAACGAAGCCCCTTTTTCCCATAAGTTCAACCTCGATTTCCGACGGAAAACCTCAGGAAAACCCGAGGCAAACTTTGAAACAATCAAGGAACACCGAGCCCCTCCCCAACGAAAAGGGTTCCTTCTTCAGCGCCCCGACTGTAAACATGCGAAGGCGGCACGGTGGATCTGCGCCCCCCGGGGCTTGCGGGACGCGTGCAAACAGGACGGCCTGGCGCCCGCAAGGCCACGCGCGCCTCCATTCGGGTTACCCCACTGCTGCGCATGTCGTGCCCCATGACCCCAGCTGAAGCTCTCAGCCGGCCTCTCAAGACAGCTTCCCAGCACCTTCAATCGGCACGCCCCTCACGCACGTCGTGTCTCATGTGCGCCAGAGGCGCTGAGCTGGGCCCTCACGACGGTTCAATGGACCCTCGCGGTCTGCGCACCCCTTAGGCACTTCGTGCACCATGGACATTCAGCGGCGCTACGCTGGCCTCCCAAGACGGCACATGGGAACTTTAAAACGGTACACCGCTAACGTATTCCATGGCCAATGGGCCTCCAGCGGCGCTCAGCTAGTTCTCAGGGCGGCTGCAAGGCGCTTCAATGCGGCACACCCCTCGCGCGCTTCGTGCCGCATGGACCCCCACAGGCCCTCCGGGAGCTTCCAACACTGCCGATCATGAACGGACGCGGATATGGACCCAAAAGAGCAGATGCTACGAGAATTCGTCTACACCCTGCGAAATGCTTACGAAATCATGGGTTAAGAAACTCAGAGTCTCAGAATTTGAATGAAGACCCAGAAATTCTATTGAAATCTTCGGATTCGCATTGAAACATTAATAATAATCGAGACTCTGGCCAACAACTTAAGTTTTCTTAAGCATCGCCTAGGGTGTAAGCCGCCCCCCCCCCCCACACACCCACCGCTGGCGAGATCTGCGTGCCTGCCTCCCCTTTCGGGGCAAGCTGTGCCTCCCACCCTGCGGGATCGCCAGAGAAAGGATTCTGAGCACCACGCCTGCTCACCCCTGGGTTGGAGGGCCGATGCAGGACAGAGAAAGTGCCTCCTCCTCCTCCTCCTCCTCCTCCTCCTGGCCAGAGCTGTGAAGTCTCTGTTGGGAAAGGTGAGAACTCAAGGTGCCTGACAGATGTTGCCAGGGACTGGCAACAGCTGGATGAGCTTGCCACGCCTGAAAGGTAGAACTACTGCACCAACTGCACATACGGATCGCTAGACGCGAACCACCGTGGATGGCAGACAGGCGAAGGGCTGTTGGGGACGGAGATCGTGCAATATGTGTGTCCTCCCCTCTCCCTCTCGCTCTCGCTCTCGCTCTCCTTCTCTCTCTCTATGTCTGCCTGTCTGTCTGTCTGTCTGTCTGCCTGCCTGCCTGCCTGCCTGCCTGCCTGCCTGCCTGCCTGCCTGTCTGTCTGTCTGTCTGTCTGTCTGTCTGTCTGTCTGTCTGTCTGTATGCCTGGTGGTCTCACTCTCGATGCTTGTCATGCCTCTCTCATTCTCCCACTCCTCCTGTTATCTCCGTTGTTGTCAGCGCGCCACGCGCGCCTCTCACGCGGCCTTCCCCCCCGGGTGAACTTCACACAGTGAGACCCACTCCTCGACTAGTCCTCCGCTCCTTCTGCGGTCGCGTCCCCCCCCCCCCTCCATCCTCCCAACAGCTGGGAGGCATGCGAGCTGACAGGTGCCGTGCAGGGATCTGGACGGGCGGAGCCGCTCGTGATCGTCACCTCCTGGCGTTGCGCGCGGCCGCGCGGCGAGCGGGAAAGCCCTTCTGACGCCCACGACCCCTCACGTCCTCTGAGGGGCAACGATAGGGGGGGATAGGCAGAAGGGGGATGCATCGACCTGGATTCGGCAATACATCGTCGATAGATCGGCGATGGGCCTCCGATGATGAATCCGCACCTTCCTGGACAGGTTGGGACTATCGGGCCCCTATCGGCGATCATTGGGCGATTGGGGGTCGATGCAACCCCTCCTATGCCTATCCCCCCTATTGTTGCCCCTCACGTCCTTGCGGGGGTGCAGAAGAACGCCGCGCCCCTCGTTCCCGCTCCTCCTCCTCTTCACCGCGACGCCCCCCCCCCCAAGGCTGGTCCGCGAACGCTTTTCGGACCCGTTTCCGCACAGCGTTGGCCGATCGCAGGGGGGGGGGCCCAAGAGGGGGAGATCGTCCACGGGTCGCGCAACTGCCCGTCGGAACACTGGGGACGCTGAAAAATGATCCCCGCCCCACGAGTTGGGGTCGTCAGATTTTAAGAGCAGGCCTCCCAACCCGTCCACTCTGCATAACGCGGCCGCCAAATCCCTAGGCTCCCGAGCATGCCCGAAAATCCCGCCTCGCGCCACTCTGCATACCGCGGCCACCAGATCCCCAGGTCCCTCGAGTGTCACCGAGTGTCCCGCCTCGCGCCGACAAATCCTGAAATGACAAAATGGTATTGTGACACAGAGCAATATAGCACGGCACACCACGATACTTCACAACATACAGAGCGTACCACCACACCGCCCAACATACCATGTCCGAGCGTAAGAAACCAAATCATGACACAACATCTTGTGGCATCGCACACCATGCCGCTACTGTGCATACCATGGTACAGCATCAGAGCACACAGCATCCCATTCATAACAGGGGATATGTCAACCCCTACTCCAGGCTCTGGGAGGTTTTCGACTGGGCCACACATTTGGGGGCCCAACCCTGGGATGTACGAGGTGGGCGTCCACCCTCGATAGGGGTGCGCCGGAATAGGCCCTGGGGGTGTATCCCACAACTTCACTCCTGTTCTTAGCCGCTTCCTCTGTCGTCGAGAAGTCGGGGGTTGGGGTAGACACATCGCCTGCGACATACCATGACGCAGCAAGCATACCATCAGACAACATAGCATAACTGCACACACCAAACCAGAACATGTAACCGCGTCACATAACATTACATAACATATCATAACACAACACAACATAACAAGGCATGATATGACAGGCCGGATCACCCATACCATACCATCTCAGATCATACCATCAGATACCATGGCATCACATGTCATTACATACAAGACCATGACAGAACACACCACCACATGACACAGCACCACAGCGCACATACATGACATATAGCATCGCACACAGATGACACATCATAGCACGACAGAGCGCGGCTGAAGCAGTTACGTCATATAACAACACAGCATAGCATAGCACAATCAGCAATGGCATAATGGAGTGTACATAACAACGCATAACATCTACTAGCATACCATAACAGCGTACATAGCAACATACCATGACATCACATATCTTACCATGCCATACCAGAACATATCACACCGCAGGACAACATCAACGCACATAACCTTTCATGAAACATCATACCATGACACAACGCGGTCATAACGCATTATACCATCGCATAACAGCAATACATGACAACACCATACCGTAGCAACGAACACGATGTCATAACATGCCAGAGCATACCACATCATAACAACGCATGGCATGACATCATGCAGCATGCAACACATAACATAGCACCATGCATCAGGACAAAAGGTCAGATCAACCCATAGCATTGCGTGGCATGACAGAGCATGCACATGCATACATCACACATCATGCCATAACATAGAATCGCAACACATCATAACTTGACAGAACATTTCATCACATTAATCAAACGCGACGTGCGTGCCGAGATCAAGCTGGCCACGGCAGCAAAGAGGCGCAACAACGCACGATCGGACGACGTGTCTATCGCGACAAGCGTCACGGTGTCACTGCGGCCCGTCGAGATCAGAACGTACATATTACATGACAACGTGATGGAACACTATAAAGTCAACATTATATAACGAATATAACACACCGTAACCAACACCACACAACATAATTGTTGTCCTACTGTTACCCCTACGTCAAAGACTTAGATACAACGTGGTTGGGTATATAAGCCCATGCGCTATACTTAAACGAGCTGAGCACACCCTAAACAGCATCACGGATAATACCAACATATACCCTAGCCTGCACTGGAATAACATCTTTATCATGCCATACCTAGTGGACCAGAACATACCATACCATATCATCATGACATACAATGACAAGGGTGAGCATAGCGGAACATACTTTGACAGGAGAAGACATGAACTTGAAGAGGAGCTTCCCAGCATAGTAGGCCGTGCCAAAACATCATCACACGCGACTTGCGCGCAGAAGTCAGCCCGGTCACATGTACAAACAGGCGCAACAACGACCGATCGGACGACGTATCTAACGTGACTGCGTCACGCCGTCCCGTCGACAGCATAACATATCATATCGTAGCATCGCTAAATAGAATCTTCTCGAGCATAACTTCAGTGAACACTGCCAAATACAGCAGCGACAAATTCAGGGCGCACTGTCAGACGCAGCATCCGCGCCTGGCCACAGGAGAAAGCAGGCGCGGCAAGGACCGATTAGGCGACATATCCAACGCGGCAGGCGCCACGACGTCACGCCGCCCCGCCGAGAGCAACACGGAGACAAACATATGTGAAGGGGCCCCAGGACACACAAATAAAAACACACAAATAAAATGATTCCCCATATTTTCCCATATTTGTAGGGTTTTTGTCTTCCCCCCCACTTCCCATATTTTCCCATATTTTCCTGGGAATCGAGGATTAATTGTGTCTGTGTGTTTTTTTCCCTCCTGAAAAACAGAGACAAACATGTGTGCATCGAGCAGAACAGGACCGAACACAGCGTGAGAGAGTAGTCAGCAGAGACCGAGGACTGGCGGCCTCTCACACGCGACATGTGCGCCAAGCCCAGGCTGGCCACAGAAACAAACAGTACACCCTGCGAAATGCTTAAGAAATCATGGGTAAAGAAATTCATAGTCTCAGAACTTGGATACAAACCCAACATTTCCATTAAAATCTTAGGGTTTTCATCGAAGCATTTAGAATCATCGAGACTCTGGCCGAAAACTTCAGTTTTCTTAAGCATCGCCTAAGGTGTAGCAACACGTCCGATTAGAAACCATACCAAGCGTAAAAGGCCTCACGACGTCACGCCGGCCCGGCCACAACATGGCATGACATAAGATCAGGCCATATACTACACTGGGCCAGCATGAAGCTGAACATAATGTAGCACACTATTAAGTATACTCGGGGATGGACAGACCCCCCTTTAGTAAAACGTGGTTTAGTGAAAACGACCTGAGGCCCAAACCTGGCTGGCGCAAGCCCCGTAAATGACGGCCACGGCGCCCTCTCGAGAACCGAAAACGGACAATTCACTAATCGACGTTCGGGTTTCTGTCCACCCCCGATATACGCCTGTCACCACATCACAGCGTCTCATCCAACGCGACATGCGCCCCGTCGTCAGAGGACGGGGCGTCCAGAGCAGGAGGAACGAGAGGTCTGCCTCACCCCCTCCTCCTACTCCTCCGTCGTCCGCCTCCTCCTCCTCGTGCTGCTGCTGCTGCTGCTGCTGCTCTTCGTTTTTTTGTTTCAACCAACTGCATACAGTCGAGGCGTTGACCTAAGGAACCCTAAATAAGGAACGAGGCCCCTATTTTCCACAAGTTCAACTTCGATTTCGTATCGAAATCCTAAGGAAAACCTGAGGCAAACTGCGAAACACTTAAGGAACACGGAACCCCTCCCCAACGAAAAGGGTTCCTTCTTCAGGGCCCCGACTGTATTCTCTTCGAACAAGTTTTGCGTCCCGCAAGACTCGTTTTGGGGGCTGGTTTGTCGCTCCAGGGACGTGTTCCGGCTTCTGTCGTCAGGGCCCCTTGGGTTGTTAGACCTCCGGAATGCATCAACTTGCGACCTGGCCCGGCCGCCGCGCTGGCCAAGGCCGCCAGGCCCCGCGCACGTCGCTACAGCAGGCGCGCGCACCGTTGGGAACAGACGCCGAATGCTTCGGTGAGGTCCGCTCGAAGCAAAGAAATAGATGTTCCGGTGGAAGCGCCGGGCGGAGGAGGCGAGAGCGACTCCGCACAAAGAGCTCTCCCACTCGTGGGCTGCGCTGCTCCCCCCCTCCCCCCTCTGCCCCACTCGAGGCTCGTCTGACCTGGGCCAATCCAACCCAGAGTGACTCAGGCGTTGCAAGATCTTGCAAAATCCTGCAGGATCCTGCGCCCAAGCCTGAGTCAGCACATCCCTGGCTCTGCAGGATCCTGCACGATCGGGCGGCCTGGCTGACCCGTTTGCATTGACCCCAATCTCTGGAGTCCTGATCCCCCCGCCCATCAGCGTCGCCGCCTGTCGCCAACTTTCTTCTGCTGTCTCGCGCCTTCAAGCCTCCGCTGCTTCCGTTCCGCACATTGCTGGGCTGGCCTTGGGCGGGAAGGGCGTGGAGAACGCGAGACAATGCGCGGGCGCTCAGCTCAAACTTGACTCTGAAGATGCCCTGAAACGCCGCCACGCTTTGCAGTAGCATCAGATCTGGCCCGCTTTTTATCTCGAGATCATCCACTCCCTTTGTCCTTGTGAAGCCGTTGTTTGGACCCCATATCAGGCAACATCTTTGCATGACAATGCTGGCTCTTGCGCCATGGACATGAGATCAAAACAATTGCACGCGTCCACTTTCAAATCGTGCGCGTCGCCCACCACCACATAGATCCTGTGATGTTTTCCCCCTGTGGACATCCAACGAGGGCCCCTTTGAGGACGCTGGGTGATGTGGGGGCGGAGGAGGAGGAAGAAGAGGAGGAGGAAGAAGAGGAGGAGGAGGAGGAGGAGGAGGATGAGGAGGAGGAGAAGGAGGAAGAGGAGGAGGAGGAGGAGGAAGAGGAGGAGGAGGAGGAGGGAAGAGCAATTAGAAGGGTGATCAGGAATTGGGGAGGCGGGCGGGTGGACGGGCGGGGGAGGAGTGGGGGGCAGGGGGGAGGAGGAGGAGTGGGGGGCAGGGGGGCAGGGGGCAGCACGGACCGCCGGAGACCCCCGGCCGCTCCGTCGGCGCGAACCCGACCAGAAGGAGGCGACGGCGGGGGCCCCCCAAAACCGGCGGGGCCTCGCCATCGCTCGGACGTCCATATTTTGATTTTTGTTCGGTCTCGTGCGTGGCTTTTTCGCCAAATGGTCAAGGATGTTCCTCGATGGCCCTCGCCGAAGGAAAAGTGCACACGTCCGAGCGATGCCAAGGGGCCGAGCGCCGCGGGCGCCCGCGGCGCTGCGGGGCGCCTCCTCCTCCTCCTCCGCCGTGATGCTGGGCAGCGGCGCCGGGCTGCTCGGGCCGCCGCCGGAGCCGCCGGGGAAGGGCTGCACCACCACGTTGCCTGCGCGGGCTCTCCGGGAGCAAAAACGGGCCGCAGGGGAGGCCCGGCCTGGCTACGGAGGAGGAGGAGGAACAGGAGGAGGAGGAGGAGGAGGAGGATGAGGAGGGCCACGGGTCGGGCGAAAAAGAGGGATAGCAAAGGGGGGGGTTGAGAATCAGCTCACGCAGCTGATTTTCCCGGCGCCTCCCGGCGCCCAGGTATCGAGGAATGGGCCCGGCGGCGGGGCCGAAACCAGCTGCATGCAGCAGATTTCGTAACCCCCCCTTTCCCTATTCCCCCTTTCGTTCGGCCCGAGAGCAGGCCGGGCCGCAGGGAAGCCCGGCCTGGCTACAGTCGGGGCGTTGACCTAAGGAACCCAAAATAAGGAACGAGGCCACTTTTTTCCACGAGTGGAACTTCCATCTCCCATCGGAAACCTACGGAAAACCTGGGGCAAGCTGTGAAACACTCAAGGAACGCGGAGCCCCTCCCCAACAAAAAGGGTTCCTTCTTCAGGGCCCCGACTGTATTCTCTTCGAACAAGTTTTGCGTCCCGCAAGACTCGTTTTGGGGGCTGGTTTGTCGCTCCAGGGACGTGTTCCGGCTTCTGTCGTCAGGGCCCCTTGGGTTGTTAGACCTCCGGAATGCATCAACTTGCGACCTGGCCCGGCCGCCGCGCTGGCCACGGCCGCCGGGCCCGACTGTACTCCCCGGCGGAGGCCGCAACGAACCGAAGGCCTCCGAACGCTCACCCAGCCGATGCCGGCACTCCAAAGGTGTCCTCGCCGGTGTTGTGAAGAGACCTGGCCCCGGGCTTCGCGGGCGGCCGCTGCCGCCAGTGGGCCGCTGCGGCTCTGGCTGCTTGGATCTCGCCATCGCTCGGACGCGTCCATATTTTGTGTTTTCTTCGGTCTCGTGCGTGGTTCTTTCGCCCAATGATCAAGGATGCTCCTCGATGGCCCTCGCCGAAGGAAAAATGCACACGTCCGAGCGATGCCAAGGCCATGGCCTGTCTTGTCAGGTTGGCAATTGCTGCTCGGGCCGCCATTGCTGTTTTGCTGCTCGGGCCACTACGGTTTAGCTGCCTGAGGATCTCGCACTATTCCTGGTGGCTGCTTGGATCCATCCGGTGTGGCTTCCTCTGGACCCCTATGGTTTCCCGCCCCAGTAGCCCTGCACGCATAGGGCTCCACACATAGAGTTCCAGACACAGGGTGCCTCACATATGGCGACGCACAATCCTCTGCAACCGACGACGCTTTCGCCACATCCGCCAGGACCAGTGCAGCGGAGGTAAACTGCGTTGCAAGACAAACACAACCACGATTGAGAAACAGACCAAGCGGCCCACAGCGTTTGACTGGCGATGCGAAGACCATCCCCATCCCCGTCGAAATGCGTTGCCACGGCTCCCCTCTCGCTTGGGTGGCCGACTGATCTCGAGGTGAACAGTGGCTGCGAAGGAGGGAGGGGTACCAACGCCTTCTCTGTCGAGACGTGGCAATGCACGAAGAAACCTTGCCGTCGCTCGGATGTCCATTTCCCGTGCATTTTTCGGTTTCGTGCGTGCTTTTTTTTGCTCGATGGTCCAGGCTGTTCCTCGATGGTTTTCTCCGAGAAAAAGTGCACACGTCCGAGCGATGCCAAGAAACTCTACGCACATGTCCCACCAACACTTTTCTAGCGCCCGCCGTCCTGGGATATTATCTCATGTTTGTCCTGGCGCGCTCTACGTCGTCCTGGGGCAATTGTTCTTTTCTGGCGCGCTCTGGCCCGGCCTCTTGCAATTGGATTCCCCAGCTCGGGCCCCCTCAAAGCAACCGCCTGGTGCAGAATCTTGACCATTCGGGCACCGCGTGAACTTCCCTCGCGCAAATTTTGCGGGAGAAAGGGAGGACGGGATGGTGGACGGGAGCAAGAATATGGATGGGAACAAGCATGAATCAAAGGGAATTCGTCGGAGTTCCGTTGAGACTCTCTCAATCGGCGTTTCGAAGATCCCCTTTGGAACGCGTAGTCTGCGGGAAATGGGCCACCAGAGGGGGATACCGAAGGCAAGGACGTCTGGGACTGGGCGTCCAATCGCGTGACATGCGACATTCCACATAACGAACGAGACGTACCACTCGACACACCGTACGTCATGGCATGGCATACGTCATAGCACGACGAAGCGCGGGAATGTCTGGACACATGAGATGGCATGTCCGCTTGCAGCGGCAAAGAACAACCGCCCACAACATTATGAACGAAACAACCCTCCTTCTACCACCCTCGTGTTTGCGTCTTCCGGTGACCGCTTGCACTGCCGGAAGCGATGACATCCGCGCTGCCTCAGCTCGATATCAAGGGGAAGGACATGTGAACACGACATCACGACTGCTACGCCTGCGTGACGTCCCATGCATGCAAGTGCTGCGCGTGCAGCATTTGTCTGTTGCGGGAATGCACTAGCTGCGACAGACGTGGCGTGACCACAACAAGGTGCACCGATGTAGACCAAACTTCCAAGGGCAATCTTTCCACGACTCCAAGAATGAGAACCATGATGTCGCCGCATCCCCCTCTCACCGAAACTGGAACTGGGCGTTTGTTTATCACCCTTTCCGCTTGGCTGGGCTGTCCCTATGCGGGACGGTACACTGGGCCTCAACCCATACCGCGAACTTTTTGTTGTATGCAAGTCGCACGGCTGTTCCGTCCTACGACCTGGTCCAGTTCAAAGGACCCAGATCGAATAGTAACTGTAATGTCGACTCGTATTCGGCGGCCAAGGGGATTCACATCAAACCCGACGGCGCTCGGAAATCGCTTCCCCGATGTGTTCGATCCCTGCTTGGTTGGTACCTTCGACTGGAAGTGAACAAGTTCTTCCTCCTCCCCACCCAAACCCTCTCGTCCTCCAACTCCTGCTCCTCCTGCTGATCCTCCCGTCGTCCTCGTTTCCTTTTCCTGTTCCCTCCTCCTCCTCGTCCTCCTCTGTCCCTGCCCTCGGGATCACGCTCCATATCCTTGATTACATCCTCCGAAAGCCGTGCAAGTTGATGAACCCATGCGCACATTTCGATGATGGCGCTGAAAAACATATGGCGCACGCCCGTGTTTTCCTCCCTTGGCTTGGGTTCTCATTTTGGATAGAGCATTGGCTTGGGGCCGACGTCCTTCTCCTTCACCTCGCGCCCCCCCAGCTCTCCTCTCGGTTCTCTCCTCTCGCATCCTTCATGGGGGGTGCGAAGTGTGAGGCTGTCACCACTGTCGAGGGCTGCTGGGGGGGCCAGCGCACTGGGGTCCCACGCAGACCCCCCAAAACCTCGCCATCCCTGGGGGGGTGGGCTGCGACGTGTGAACTTGTCGCCATTTTCGAAGGTTGCCCAGGGGAGGGGGGCAACACAAGGGGGTCCCACGCAGACCCAAACGGGACCTCGTCATCCCTGGGGGGCTGCGAAGTTGGCAGCTGTCGCCACTTCCGAAGGGTGCTGGGGGAGCCAGCGCAGTGGGGCCCCACGCAGATCCCAAGCAGACGCCACCCCGGGGCGGGGCTGAGACGTGTGAAACGATCGCCACGTTCGAGGCCTGAGGCGCGCCTGCGCGCGTTTGGTGCTCGCACTGAGGGGCGCAGGGAGGAAGAGGAAAACGATGGCGGGCGAGTTAGGCCATGACCGCTCCTTGCAATAGTAACGGGAGCTTTTAATCCCACCAGCTTTCTGGACGTAGGTGGTTTAAGGCGTGTCCTCTTCCAACCCCCTTCTTCCTCTTCGGGGAGGGGTTTACACCCCTCTCCCCTACCCCCTCCCCTGGACCTGGGCGGGGCGCCCCGCGAGGTGTCAGACAGTACTTCTTCGCCGAAAGCGGCGCCAAGAGCGTCTCAGAGAGCCAATCTGACCTCCAATATGGCCCAACGATAGCGCAAGATGGCTTCACAGACAAGACGCCCAAACAAGCTTCCAAGACGGCTCGATTCGTGGGGCTCCCGAGGGGGGACGCGAATTGCGACCATCCCCTTCTTTGACCGGTATCCTCCAAGATGGCCCCAAGAGTGACTCGACAGCTCCCAAAAGCGCCCCAAGATGGCTCCAAAAGGGCCCCACGATGCGCCAAGGAGGCCCAGAGAGGCGCCCAAGATGCTTCCAATAGGCTCCCGAAAGGCCTCAAGAGGCTCACCGATGCACCCAAGACGCTCGAAGAGGCCTCCAGGACCGCTAAGAGGCCCCAAAAACGCTTCAAGAGGCTTCCCAAAAGGCTTCCAAGAGACATCCGAAGAGACTGTGGGAAGCAACTCGCCTTGGCATCGTTTCTGGACGGGCTGGCGGGGATACTTTTTGTCGCGACCGCAGGCGAGAGCGCCGACGGCGAGTAGGGTTCGAGCGGGCCGCGCACGAGCCGAACTGCCCAACGCCGACGAGCCAGCGACCTAAGCAGCACCTAAGCGGGCAGGCCAGCGTGAGGGGGCGGGCTGCAGCTGCCAGGAACCAGGCCCAGGAGCGCACGCATGCACGATTAACCAACCGAGGTTGGAGCGCAGCCAGACTGGCGCGGGGGTGGTACCAGGATGTGGCCAGGAAGACCACCACTGGAAACGCTGCACCAGCTGATCCAGGAAGAACTCACTGGCCACGGAACTCTGGTGGGGATGTTTTTTTTTGTCGCGGCCGCAAGCGAAAACGCAGGAGGCGCCCGAAAAGGTCGAGCGGGCTACGCGCGAGCCTAATTATATAGCGACCGAGCGCGGGATCAGAGCCTACCGCCGGGTGGGCAGCTGGCTGAAGCTGAGCTGGCCGAGCTGGCTGCAAGCGGCCAGGGCTGCATGCTGCACACGTGCGACACCCAGACGGAACATCAGGGTGAATCGAACCTGCACGCCAGGAGGCGTCGTGGTCTGGGCTGTAGGATACCGACCAAGCGTCCGACCAGCGAGGCTGCACCGCCTGACGGTCAAAAACCCCGGCCCGTCAGCACGCAGACAAGAGAACAGAGTCGGATGGGTGCAAGCACTCTCGGACCCGGTGTGGGTACCATGGGAGCAGATCACCAGATACGCTTTGGGCGTGGCTTAATGGGGGGGTCACAAATGGGGGGGTCAGAAAAGGTCCCCTTTCGTGCCCCTTTCGGGCCCCTCCGGAGCCGCGGGGGGCTCGTTTAGGCACCGTTTGGGTACCTTTTCGGGCCACACTCGCCGCCCCCCCATTTATGACCCCCCCATTACGCAGCGCCCAAACGCTACAGGAGCTTGTCGCCACCGGGCGCCAGAGGTCAGGGCCACCGCCGTGGCGAAGTGCGGGATACCACGAGAAGTCCGGCGACAGAGGGCCAGTGGGGGGTGCGCAGATCCGTACAAGAAGGCAGAACCACTCCTGAGTGAACCGGCGGACATAGCCCCAAAAAGCCTGCTTCAGACACGGCCGGCTAAGGCAATCTCTGGTGGGGATTCCTTTTTTTGATCTGCGGCTCCAGGGACGATTCCAGGGAGCGGGTCGAAACAAGCTTGGGGCAACAAGCAAGACAATTGCCAGCGGGCCAAAAGCCGCCTGGTGGGGATTCGCGCTGCAGCAACGCCGAGCGCTGGCCGCACAAGTGTTGAACATTTCGGCATGGAACCGACACTTCACTGTCTGCTTGCGTCTCCGCCTATGTAACCTTATCTTGCCCATGCTCCACCATCTCGCTGCTTCTGCCGCAGTGATTATTCTTCCACCCCGTTGTCATTTCTTGTTTCTCCTTCCCAGTACAATTCCTCCTGGCCTTTTGTATCTCTGTTCTGCGAATCGTCCATGCACACTTCGCACAATATAGATCTCCGCCGTGCACCGTCTCTGGCAGTGCAGCTGTCACACTATTGTTGGCACACCTTATATCAGTGCCGAAAGGTTGGGTACGTCGCAGATTCACTCGGTGAGTTCGGCAACCTACGACTAGTTGATCACATGATTGGAGAGCTGACGCGCTATGGAATTTGATTGATGATGCCTTGCGCGCGCGCACGGGGCCCGCGTGATACTCTGCTTCGCATGGCTTCGCAACGTGTGCAAGCCAGTCCACCGCATACCATTAGCTACCGCGGGCCAGATTCGGTTGACCCCCGAATTTTGTAAGAGTCCAAACATCAACTGGACACTGGGCTCCATACTCGCTGGCCCTGCGGGCCAGAGCCGTGCCCGAACTTCCGGTGAGAACTTCGCGCGCGCACGCGGGGCGGCGCCTCGGGGCCCCTGGGACGACGACGTGTTCCCCTGGGCGAGGCCTTCGGGGCTCCCATGGGGCGTTCCAACTCCGAAGTGCGCTCCAAGAACTGGCCTGAGAGGACGCCAAGACGGTCCATTTTCGCTCCAGGACTGCCGACGATGGCCTCAGGAAGGCTGCAGAGGGTCCCGAAACAGCCCCAGACCGCTCCAAGAGCCCAGCATCGCCTCAAGCAGCCCAAGCTGCCCCCATCAACGCTCCAAGAGGACACCCGAGAAGGCCCAAGAGGGAAACATTGTGATTGTCCTCAAGCGTTTTGAATCATATAAAATGTTTGCCTGTTCGGACAGTCCGTCGGCTCAAACGGCCCAAAAAGGACTTCAAGATGGCCACAGAGGTCCCTAAACTGAAGCAGGAGGCATGCAATAAGCCCCAAATATCGCCCCAACACAGCCCAAGAGGTTCCCTGGATGGCCAAAGGATGGCACAAGAGGGCCACAAGACGGCCCATGAGTCCTTCCAAGAGGGCTCCAGAGGCCCCCAGGAGGATCCCTGTGAGGGGGAATCCACACTGACATGCCGAGCCTTCCAACCATGATCCCCGAGACCGCCAGCAGGCTCCCAAGGCCCCTAGGGACCCGAAAGACTGTCCCGAGAGACCGCAGGGGGTCTCGACAATGTCGCCAAGAGGGCTCCGAAACGCCTCCCGAGAGACACCAAGTTTCCTACTGAAGAGGCGGCTTGTCCACGACCTCGTCTACCCCAAAGAGTGCGCTGAAAAACAATGGAGATTCCTCCTCCTCCTCCTCCTTCTCCTCCTCGCTCACCGCGAGCACACCAACACATCGAAACAACGATGGAGCATGGATCGGCGGGGTGAGCAACACGATTCCCGACACACACACACACACACACGCACACACACGCACGCACACACACACACGCACACACACACACACACGCACACACACACAGACACACACACAGACACACACACACAGACACACACACACACACAGACACACACACACACACACAAACACACACACACACACACACGCGCGCGCACGCGCGCACGCGCGCGCGCGCACGCACGCGCGCGCGCGCGCACGCACGCACGCACGCACGCACGCACGCACGCACGCACGCCACGCACCCACGCACCCACGCACCCACGCACACAACACAACACACAACACACAACACACAACACACAACACACAACACACAAACACACAACACACAACACACAACACACACACAACACACAACACACAACACACAACACACAACACACAACACACAACACACAACACACAACACACAACACACAACACACAACACACAACACACACACACACAACACACAACACACACCACACACCACACCACACAACACACAACACACAACACACAACACACAACACACAACACACAACACACAACGCACAGCACACAGCACACAGCACACAGCACAACACACAACGCACAACGCACAACGCACAACACCCAACACATAACTCACAACACACAACACACAACACACAACACGCACAACGCACAACGCACAACACACAACACACAACACACAACACACAACACACAACACACAACACACAACACACAACACACGCACACACGCACACACGCACACACACACACGCACACACGCACACACGCACACACACACACACACACGCACGCACACACACACACACACACGCACACACGCACACACACACACACACACACGAAAACGAAACCGAACAGGTCAGGGCAAAATCAGGGGGCCTGGTCGGGATTACGGGGCACAACAGCTCTTTTCAAGCGCACGAGCTGCAGCCACAGCCAACCCGCATCACAAGGGCGCACGGTCAGGATGCAAGGGCCCTGGACGGCCCTGTTGTCGCTTTGCGAGCGGGGCGCGGCCGGCGGACGTGGCCAAGGAGGGGCCGAAGAGGCAAGGATGCGAGGGCCACACCACGCGAAATGGTTAAGAAATCATGGGCCACATTGGAAAGCCGCTCCTCCTTGCCCTGCGGGCTGACTGCACGGGGCACAGCAGCCTTCCTCCAGGCGCACGGGCTGCCGTGAGGCCCCGAGTGCAGCAGGAGTGCCACCCGCTGCGCCCCCACGGAGAGTACCCTGCAGAGCTGCCCACGGCCCCTTGGGCCGCCGAGGGGTGGCACTTTTATGCGCCGAGGGGTGGACGATGGGAGCGGCCCACGCGGGTCGCACGGCAAGGGGGGACACCACACGGGGGGGATTGGCGAACCAGCTCACGCAGCAGATTTCCGCGGCGCCTCCCGGCGCCGGAGGCGCCAGTGCATCGAGGGAAGCGCTCGGCGGTGGGGCCGAGACGGGCCGCGCGCAGCAGATTTCGTACCCCCACCCGCCCTTCTCTATCCTGCGAGACAGGGGCAGTCGCCCGTCGCAGAAGAGATGCTTCAAAGAATGAAGAGACGCCCAGCCAGAGTCCGCAAACATGCGAAGCGCCGAGCCTGCTGTACGCCCCCAAGCGGGGGGAAGGGTTCAACCCCCCCCCCTCGGCGCCAGCGCCGGCGCCGGCCAGCAGCGCCGGCGCTGGCGCCGTCGACGGCGGGGCCGCAGCGACGATTACCGTCACTACCACCACCACCACCACCGCCTCAACCCAGCACCAGAGGAGGAGGAGGAGGAGGAGGAGGAGGAGGAGGAGGAGGAGGAGGAGGAGCGAAGAGGAGGAGGAGGAGGAGGAGGAGGAGGAGGAGGAGGAGGACGACGACAAACTCCGGACCACACAGCGCAGCATGGTGCGGCAGATCGTGGGCGCTCGGAGGCGCAGCCACGAGGCGCGGGTCGAATTCGCGCAGCGTGCCACGCACACCGGCAACATAAACCCTGCCGAGCAGAAGGGCGTCCAGGCTTGTGAGCCTCGAGCTTCCGGAAGCCAACGTGGTCCCTGGCAAGCATATGCTATCCACGGCGACGCACGTGCGCTGGGCCGTCCGGCTGGTGCCTGGGTAGTCGAAGCCAATCTGGCGGGCCCAATCTGGCAAACGGTGGCAATCTGGCAAGGGAGCCAACGCGAATCCAGCCTGGCGAACAACCAAACCCCTCAACCTGGGCAAGCCAGATTGACCCCAGGAGCCCAATCCAATCTGCCAGTCTGGCCTTCGACTACCCAGGGTACACCAGAGGCCTTGGCTCAGGGCTGGCGCCAAGAGGAGCGCCGGCGGCCAGCGCCAGCGGCGCCGAGCCGCTGTCGCGCTCCTCGAGCACGCGCGGGGCACGCTGCGGCGCGGCGCCGCGCTGGAGCAGGCGGGACGCCTCCCTCGAGAATGGCAACGGCACAAAGACGGCGACCGGAAACGGCAACAGAAACGGCTCCAGGATTGGAGCCGGAGCGGGAACCCGTAAAAGAACGGCGACGGAACCGGCAACAACAACGGCGTCGGAACCGGCAAAAGAACGGCGAAACGGAACCAGTAAAAAAACGGCCCTGTCGTTTCCAGGGCCCACTACAGTCGGGGCGTTGACCTAAGGAACCCTAAATACGGAACGAGGCCCCTATTTTCCATAAGTTAAGCTTCGATGTCCTATCGAAAACCTAAGGAAAACCTGAGGCAAGCTGCGAAACATTCAAGGAGCGCGGAGCCCCTCCCCAACGAAAAGGGTTCCTTCTTCAGGGCCCCGACTGTAAGCTCTCTCCCTTTCCCTGTCCCCCCCTTTTCGTCCGACCCGACCTTCGGGCGTGCCGCGCGCACACGTCGGCGCGCACAACGATCGGGGAGACGCGGGGCGGGGTCGGAGGAGGGAGGAGGGAGGAGGGAGGAGGGAGGGCTCGAGGGACTCGGGCTGGCCCGACGGGGCCGTCAGGACAGTGACGAGACCCCGCCTGAGATTCGACGCGAACTCCCACTGCAACTCATCCCACGGAAGCTGGACCGCCAAAATCCAAGACGGGCTGGTCAAACAGCGTCCGCGAACCCGCGTTTTTGGCGAACTCGAGTCTTGCAATTCCCCAAACAAGAGGAACATAAAGACTGCATAACCATCATTTCTCGGAGGTCCGTGCGGACTTTTGGGGATCGGCTCTGGCCCCCCCTCCCTGGCGAGCGGAGCGCGCCAGCCAGGGGCGGCGCCGGAGCCGCCGCCAGGGGGCCCCAGCGCAGATCCAAGAGACCCGCTCGGAGCTCCGAAACTCTGGGCTTATGCAGCTTGTTCTTCTTGGAGGGCATGCCGCGCGCACACGTCGGCGCGCACGGCCGAACTGGTTAACCCCAAAACAGGACCCCTAACCATCTGGGAGGGGACCTACGTTAGGAGTGCAGGGGACCTACGTTAGGAGGGCCAGAGTAGCAGGAGGTAGAGGGGGTCTTTCTGCAGATGTAGGCTATCAAACCGCTATCCCTAATGTCAAGACGGGAATCTCAGCGAGGCCACGCCTTCACTCGGAGGTGGACAAACCTCCCTTTAGTAAACCTCCCCTTAGTGAAAACGGCCTGGTGAAAACGGCCTGGGACCGAAACCGATGGACCTGGACCCGGAAACATGACGGCCGCGACGCCCTCTCGCGAACCGAAAACGGCCCATTCCTTCATCGGCGTGTCAGGGTAATTAGGAGGTCTATCAACCTATGTTAGACGAGCGCGTTCCACCACTCGCAGAATGGCTACTCGCAAGTGGCCCGGGTCCGCCGCGGGGGATCCTGCGATGAAGCCCATCGAAGCGGACGTCTGTCCTCCAGGCGTTTGCGAGTGGGCACTCTGCGAGTTGTATGAAGGGGCCCCAGGACACACAAATGAATACACACAAATAACATGGTTCCCCATAGTTTCCCATAGTTTCTGTGTTTTTGTCTTCCCCCCCACCTCCCATATTTCCGTATATTTTCTAGGGAATCGAGGATTAATTGTGTCTATGTGTTTCTTTTGGTATATTCGAGGAAATCGAGGATTAATTCGTATAATTTCTAGGGAATCGAGGATTAATTGTAGTGGAACGCGCTCGGGGAGTGCTCTCAGGGTTAGGGGCTCTCGCGCTCTCGATGACCTGGGCAGGGACCGACCGCCTCGACGCTCCGGCCAGAGAGCGTGCCCCCGATGCGTGTGTGAAAGAGCAAGACGGTGCCAGCCAGACATGTTCTGACAACAAATCTCGTGGGAACCACAAAATCGGGGATGGACAGACCTCCCTTCAGTAAAACGTGGTTCAGTGAAAACGACCCGAGGCCCAGACCAGGCGGGCGCAAGCCTGGAAAATCAAGGCCGCGGCGCCCTCGCGAGAACTGAAAAAGGACAATTCACGAATCGACGTGTCAAGGCAGGAGGTCTGTCCACCCCCGACAAAGAGGGTCTCAGAACATTGCCTGGTGGGCCTATGGGCCAACCAGGACGCTTCGCCACTGCTTGCATGACAAACCAGGAGAGCCCAGAATCGAATCGATACATCGGATCGGCAATCGACATGAATCGGATCGGCGGAAATCGGCAGCCGAATCGGGAAAAGTCGAATCGGCGGAAATCGGCAGGCTAGTATGCCTCCAATGAGGAATCGGAACCCAAATCGGAGGCCCAAATCGAATCGAATCGGAATCCGAATCCATCGAAGTCGAATCGAATCGAAACGGAGGAATCGAAACGAGCCCTGACAAACCGATCGGGCCGCGAGGAGCCACTGCCGGCCGCCCCCCGACGCGCGCGCACTGCGCGCAGGGCCGGCCGGCGGGGCCGCCGGGCCCCCGGCCCGAGAGCTGCACGGCGGTGGCGGCCACGCCGTGGCCTCGGCGCGCGGGGGGGGGGCTCCTCCTCCTCCTCCTCCTCCTCCTCGTTCCTCCTCCTCCTCCTCCTCCTCCTCCTCCTCCTCCTCCTCCTCCTCCTCCTCCCTCATCTTCCTTCTCCTCCTGCTCCTGCTGCTCCTGCTCCTGTTCCTCCTCCTCCTCCTCCTCCTCCTCCTCCTCCTCGTGCTCCTCCTGCTCCTCCTGCTCCTCCTGTCTCCTCCCCCCCCCCTTCTCTGGGCCGCCTCCTCTGCGCCCCCTCGGTCCGGTAAGCCTCTGGGGGGCAACGATGCGGGGGGGAGGGGCACAGGGGGGGGTGCATCGACCTGGGATCGGCGATACGTCGTCGATAGATCGGCGACAGGGCCCCCGATGGCGAGTCAGCACCTCCCTTGGCGGGGTGGGGCCGTCGGGCTCCTATCGGCGATCAGTGGGCGTGGGGGTCGATGCATCCCTCCCGGTGCCTATCCCCCCCGTGTCGTTGCCCCCGAGCTTCAGCACTGTGAGACCTAAAGGTGCGGCCCGGCGGTTGGGATGCCTTCCGCAGCCCGGCCAGCCTTGGACGGCCGGCTCCCGCGCGCGAGCTGCACCGCCCTCCGGGTGGAAACGGGCAGCATAGGGAGCTCAGAAAGGATGTACGCGCCCAGCTATGTACATGAACACGGCCCCTTGACCCGCGAGACCTGCCGCGCGATACGAACATCCGCGCAATGCGAACTCTCGAAACCAGCGTGGATTCATGTACATGTGCGTCCTTCTTTCGCTCCTGACAGCAGGTCGCCCGCCCGAGTCTCCGCTCGGGTCGGGCGGGCGTGGGACGCAGGCGGCATTGCCAGTGCGCCGCGCCCTCCTCGGAGGCGCCCCGTGCGAACCCCGCACGCGCGCGCGTGGCTGCCGCGCGCCGCTGCTCGCGCGGTCTGGCCAGAGAGCGCCCGCCACCGAGTTCACACATGACTAGTCTTTGTGGGCCCCGGAAGCGGCAGGGCCGTTTTTTCACCGCTTCCAAGGAAAATGTCCCTTGAGAATGGAAACGGCAAAAAAACGGTGACCGGAAACGGTAAAAAACGGCTCCAGGCTTGGAACCGGAGCTGGAACCGGTCAAACAACGGCGACGTAACCGGTAACAAAAACGGCGTCGGAACTGGCAAAAAAACGGCAAAACAGAACCGGTAAAAAAACGGCCCTGTCGTTTCCAGGGCCCACTAAGGGCGGGGGAGAAGGGAGAACAGCACAGGCAGGATCCGTCCGCATCGAAGCGGGAAGTCGGATCGGATCTCGAAGTGTGCATCCGATCGGGCTGCATCGGCACGGAACCCACACCGAAAATCGGATCGGGTGCGCCGGGATGCACGGCAGCGCCACACACAGGCATCGTGCCGCAGCGGATCGTCGTAGTCCCACCAGCTCTTTAGGACGTGAGTGGGCTAGGGAGTTTCCTTTTCCGACCACCTTCTTCCCCCTCGAGGAGAGCTTTACCCCGCCCCCTCCCGTTGGTCTTGAAAAGCGGGAGGTCGCGAGGGGTGAGAGCGTCTAAAAAGGCCTCGGCGAGGAAACCCAACCCATATCCTAAGATGGGGTTCTTGTTATTCCCCATATCCTAAGATGGGGTTCTTGTTATTACTTGGACGCCTCCTACTCCTTCTCCCTCCTCCTCCTTCCTCCTCCTCTTTCCTCCTCCCCTCCTGTTGGACTTACTCATACTCAGACTTGCTCATACTCAGACTTACTCATACACAGACTTACTCATACTCAGACTTACTCATACTCAGAACTACTCATACTCAGACTTACTCACACTCAGACATACTCATACACAGACTTACTCATACACAGACTTACTCACACCCATACGTACTCATACACAGACTCACTCATACCCAGACTTACTCATACACAGTATTAGTCATACTCAGACTTCGCTTGGAGAGCAGATTGTGAGGATGTCTCAGGCGGGGCGCTGGTTTCAGCACCCCTAAGGGGAGCCGCCAGGGGTGTTTGCACGGGCTCGTTCGCGGCCATTTTGTGGGGATGTCTCAGGCGGTTTGCTTGTTTCTGGGCCCAACATCCTTCGCTTTCGGAGCAGATTTGGAGGATGTCTCGAGCGAGGCGCTGGTTTCAGCACCCCTAAGGGGAGCCGCCAGGGGTGGTTGCACGGGCTCGTTCGCGGCCATTTTGTGGGGATGTCTCAGGCGGTTTGCTTGTTTCTGGGCCCAACATCCTTCGCTTTCGGAGCAGATTTGGAGGATGTCTCGAGCGAGGCGCTCATTTCACCCCCCAGGTGGGCCAGATTTTGAGGATGTCTCGATCGGTTTGCTTGTTTTGGTGGCCAGGCTCGTGGCCCTAAGGGGAGCCGCCAGGGGTGTTGCACGGGCTCGTTCGCGGCCATTTTGTGGGGATGTCTCAGGCGGTTTGGTTTCTGCCCAACATCCTTCGCTTTCGGAGCAGATTTGGAGGATGTCTCGAGCGAGGCGCTCATTTTCACCCCCAGGTGGGCCAGATTTTGAGGATGTCTCGATCGGTTTGCTTGTTTTCGTGGCCAGGCTCGTGGCCCTAAGGGGAGCCGCCAGGGGTGGTTGCACGGGCTCGTTCGCTGCCATTGTGTGGGGATGTCTCAGGCGTTTGCTTGTTTCTGGGCCCAACATCCTTCGCTTTCGGAGCAGATTTGGAGGATGTCTCGAGCGAGGCGCTCATTTTCACCCCCCAGGTGGGCCAGATTTTGAGGATGTCTCGATCGGTTTGCTTGTTTTGGTGGCCAGGCTCGTGGGCGCAGATTCTTCTCAGGATGCCACAGGAGGCTCCAACAGGCTCCAGGAGGCCCCAGGAGACCACATGAGGTCCCAGGAGGCATCAGGAGGCCACAGAAAAACTCAAGAGGCCACAGGATGTCCCAAGAGGCTCCAGGAGGCCCCAGGAAGCTCCAGAAGGCCTCAGGAAACCACAGGAGGCCCCAGGAGGCAACAGGAAGCGCCAGGAGGCCTCGGAACAGGAGGCCCCGAGAGGCCCCAGGAGCAGGAGGCCTCAGAAGGCAACAGGAGTGGCTCCAATCCCATGCGTTTTACGTATGCTCCTATTATTGGGCCTCTCCTGGGGCACGAATCCTTGGTGTTTTACGCGTGTTCCTATAGATTGCCCTTCTCCTGTGGCTCTAATCCGCAATGCTTTATGTACGCCTGTTGCTATAGATTGCGCCTCTCCTGGGGCACGAAACCTTCCTAGGAGGTCCCAGGAGGTCCCAAGAGGCTCCTGAAGACCCCAGGAAGCCCCAGTAGGTTTCAGGAGGCCCCAGGAGGCCCCAAGCTCATGCACAGAGACGCGCTTGTACTACTGAGGCTCATTCACACTCCAATTCATTCGCAATTATATTGATGTCCAGACCGTCACAACTGAAGCCCGTTAATATTCGAAAGCTCTTGCGCCTAGACATTCACGGCGGACAGGTCCATGCGAGTAGATGCACATATGGGGAGCTCCACGCAGTGAATAATTACTTGGACGCCTCCTACTCCTCCTTCTCCCTCCTCCTCTTTTCTCCTCCCCTCCTGTCGGACTTACTCATACTCTCACTTGTTCATACACAGACTTACTCATACTACTCACACCCAGACGTACTCATACACAGACTCACTCATACCCAGACTTACTCATACACAGTACTAGTCATACTCAGACTTACTCATACCCAGACGTACACATACACAGACTTTCTCATACACAGGCCTACTCATACCCAGACTTACTCATACACAGACTTACTCATACACAGACTTACTCATACTCAGCACCCCTAAAGGGGAGCCGCCAGGGGTGGTTGCACGGGCTCGTTCGCGGCCATTTTGTGGGGATGTCTCAGGCGGTTTGCCTGTTTCTGGGCCCAACATCCTTCGCTTGGAGAGCAGATTGTGAGGATGTCTCAGGCGGGGCGCTGGTTTCAGCACCCCTAAGGGGAGCCGCCAGGGGTGGTTGCACGGGCTCGTTCGCGGCCATTTTGTGGGGATGTCTCAGGCGGTTTGCTTGTTTCTGGGCCCAACATCCTTCGCTTTCGGAGCAGATTTGGAGGATGTCTCGGCGGGGCGCTGGTTTCAGCACCCCTAAGGGGAGCCGCCAGGGGTGGTTGCACGGGCTCGTTCGCGGCCATTGTGTGGGGATGTCTCAGGCGGTTTTGCTTGTTTCTGGGCCCAACATCCTTCGCTTTCGGAGCAGATTTGGAGGATGTCTCGAGCGAGGCGCTCATTTTCACCCCCCAGGTGGGCCAGATTTTGAGGATGTCTCGATCGGTTTGCTTGTTTTGGTGGCCAGGCTCGTGGGCGCAGATTCTTCTCAGGATGCCACAGGAGGCTCTCAGAGATTTTCAGGCCACAGAAAGAGGAAGCATGAGGTCCCAAGAGGCTCCAGGCCACAGGATGTCCCAAGAGGCTCCAGGAGGCCCCAGGAAGCTCCAGAAGGCCTCAGGAAACCACAGGAGGCCCCAGGAGGCAACAGGAAGCGCCAGGAGGCCTCGGAAGGCAACAGGAGGCCCCGAGAGGCCCCAGGAGCAGGAGGCCTCAGAAGGCAACAGGAGTGGCTCCAATCCCATGTGTTTTACGTATGCTCCTATCGATTGGGCCTCACCTGGAGCACGATTCTTTGATGTTCTACGTATGTTTCTATAGATGGTCCTTCTCCTGTGTACACAATCCTAAATGTTTTACTCATGTTCCTATGTATTGGGCCTTTCCTGGGGCACGAGTCCTTGGTGTTTTACGCGTGTTCCTATAGATTGCCCTTCTCCTGTGGCTCTAATCCGCAATGTTTTATGTACGTCTGTTGCTATAGATTGCGCCTCTCCTGGGGCACGAAACCTTCCTAGGAGGTCCCAGGAGGTCCCAAGAGGCTCCTGGAGACCCCAGGAAGCCCCAGTAGGTTTCAGGAGGCCCCAGGAGGCCCCAGGCTCATGCACAGAGACGCGCTCGTACTACTGAGGCTCATTCACACTCCAATTCATTCGCAGTTAGATTGATGTCCAGAC